TATTTCATACAAATAATTACACTTTTTCACACAGACACTCACCAAACTTGATCTCTACAGCAATCAAATCGGAGATCATGGAACACAATGTCTTGCTGATTCATTAAGGAACAATGCAGTAAATCACATTTTCTTTTCAACTATCTCGTACAAATCTTTACAATTTTTCACACAGACACTCACGGAACTTGATCTTGGTATTAATGAAATCGGAGAGAAGGGAGTACAAAGTCTTGCTGATTTGTTAAAAAACAACAAAGTTAATCTCATTTTGTCTTCAACTATTCTATACAAACATTTACACTTTTTCACACAGACGCTCACCGCACTTAACCTTGGTGTTAATCGAATCGATGACAAGGGAGCACAACATCTTGCTGACTCATTGAGCAAGAACACAGTAAACCTCATTTTATCTTCAATTATCTGATACAAATATTTACACTGTTTAACATAGACACTCACCGAACTTCATCTCGACCTTAATCATATCGGAGACAAAGGAGCACAACATCTTGGTGATTCATTAGAAAACAACAGAGTAAATGTCAATCTCTCTTCAACTATTTTATACAAAGATTTACACTTTTCCACACAGGCACTCAACGTACTTCATCTCAGCCGCAATCAAATCGGAGACAAAGGAGCACAACATCTAGGTGATTCATTAAGATACAATACAGTAAATCTCATTTTCTCTTCAACTACCTCATACAATCATTTACGCTTTTTCACACAGGCACTCACCACACTTTATCTCGACCACAATCAAATCGGAGAGAAGGGAGCGCAACATCTTGCTGATTCATTAAGAAACAACACAGTATATCACATCTTATCCTCATTTATCTCATACACACATTTACATTTTTCCACACAGACACTCACGGAACTTGATCTTGGTATTAATGAAATCGGTGACAAAGGAGCGCAATATTTTGCTGATTCATTAAGAAATAATACAGTAAATCTCATTCTCTCTTAAACGATCTCATACAAACATTTACGCTCTTCCACACAGACACTCACGGAACTTGATCTTCGGAAGAATAAAATTAGCGAGAAGGGTGCACAACATCTTGCTGATTCATTAAGAAACAATACAGTAAATCTCATTTTATCTTCATTTATCTCATACACACATTTACACTTTTTAAACAGACACTCACCTCACTTAATCTCGAACTCAATGAAATTGAGGAGACAGTTCTAGATCGTGTGAATGAACTTGTTCACAAGAATGAACGATTGACAAAAGCTTATTTGTTAATGATGAAGATAGTGTCATATTAAACTAGAAAAATATGTTTATCATCTCATTATGATTCCATTACATTGGTGACTTAAAAATGACAATAAGGTTGTTGGTTTGTTTCGAGACCATATTTACTAAAGTGTGGACCTAGTTCTACTTTTTTTTACTATAAAATGGACATAATATATTTTTTCTGGTTTAAGCTATGCTCTAAACTGTAGGAGATGTATAATATAATTTCAAAGTGTTCTTTATGACTCTATCATGTATTTTTCTTCATAAACCGTTCTCACATCGATAGAACATAGTTATCATCTATCGCGTATTAATGAAACGAAACGAACTAACAGAAAAGATGATTGTTAGTATATGATCAAGAAGATGGTGGTTAGTAGATATCATGTTAATTGCTAAGCTGATGCTGGTTTTACCTGATTTTGAATGACATAGTAGTTTTGAGAAAATCAGAAAAACTATTCGAAAACTAAGGAACTTGTTTAAAGTCTCTTTTGAAAACTGATCCAGATAGTATCTGGTTCAGCTTCGCATTCATGATATATTTGATATAAGATTAAGGAAAATTTCGAGCATTGGTAGTTTCGATGGTGAATTAATGATGCTGTGGAAGAATATTATTTATGTATTTATTTATGAGGCGATGAAATCTATGATAATCTTTTGTTTTCTCTGCAAGTTTATGCACGGCACTATTAATGACAGTTAACACAGATTTTTAGTGCAACAATGATAATATAGTAACAACAACAACTATTTCAATGATTACTAATATATATCTGACGATTGATTGATGTCATCTTCAGTACATTAAGTCACAAAAGACATATCTTCGAACGTAAATTTTCATCAAAATCAATAAGATCAGAATATACATTTACCGCGAAAGTTATTTTTATCAGTGTTTCTGACAATCTTCAGTATGATAGTTGACAGTATTTGTGTTTTAAAATAAATGTATTTACACTATGTACAAAATGACAAAACTATGCAAATGAGTATCTTCTTCAATGCTTTTTTGGATTGATTTGAAATAGCAAGCATTCATTTATATTTATCTGTCTGACTGTTACATATGTTTTAAATAAATAATATTAACGACATTTACTCGGTATGTCAGAAAAGAACTATAGAAGTCATTGTACAAATTTATAATAACAACAAACTATTATAAAATATTAATATTGATTATATCATTCTCAGGAATTCCAGTCGATTATTTGTGAATAATAATGAATAAATGAAGAATACTAAAGCCAAATGTACTTGATAGTAAATATCCCAAATACAATTTAAATAGTTTCTAATCCAGATCTTTTTGTGAGAATCATATGTTTCACAATTAATTCCCACCAAATGATTACAAATTGTATCAAGAAGCATTGCTATAAGTTCTCTTATTATAGACAAAAGCATCTAACATTCGTGGACAGCAAAACAAAACAGTATTTTCAACCACTTGAATTTTATATAGATTTGATGGATTTTCGAGAATTGAAAGAACTGTATCAAATGAACTATCTATACAAAGACTATATTTACATTTGAAAGTACAAGAATGAACATATATCACTATTAAGTTCAAAAAATGTTTCTGAACCAACTGTCAATCTAAAATCATCCAATATTTCTATTGTTATAAATTGCGAAAAAAAATTCTATTGAATAACATGAGTAGAAATAGATTATAAAAAAATGCACAATGAAAAGAACAAAACATTATTTTTACTCATTTATTTTTATTATTCAAGTTCTTCATTCAGTTTATTAATTTTAAAACGTTAAAGTAATTCTTTTCCATGTTATATTATCAACAACATGTACATCGAAATTATTTCCTTGAGAAAAAATTACAATACGTTCAACCATAACATATTTTTCTTTGTTCAATCTAAGAATTAAAATATTTATATTCAATAAGAAAAGAGGACATGTAATTCAACATTCTTACATTACGGCGTGTCCAAGCTGACGGAATCACGTTTTTCCCTTATGTCAGTTCTATAACTCGGTTATACAGAAACCAATAAGTCTGAGGTTTTATATAGTCTACATGAGCCTAATTCCTCTTCAAAAGTATGGGAGTTTTTCTTAAGTTTACCAAATCTGTTTGTGTTTTACGATCAATAATATACCCTGTTGCGGAATCACACGAAACGGAACGTCATGTTTTATCGATTACTCAAAAGTGCAAAATTCAATTTAACAACAGGAATAAAAAACCACGATTTGTAGCAGATTGATAGGCTAGATAATATAATATCTAAAGAAAAAGAAAACTTGAAAAAATATTCAAAGCTACCTTTGCGCTGCAGAAATATGTGTCGTTATGGAATCACATTTGAGCATGTCTGTTCCTCTACTTAAAACAATCACTCCAGGCCATTTTTGTATATATGTGTTCACCATATCACTGGCAAACCTATGCTGAAAATTCAGGTTATAAATGTCATCAGCTTCAAAAGATAAATAAATTGTTTTATAGAAAATTTGCCCATAGGGGTACGATTTTACGTGAACAAGCCGATGTCTTAATTATGAGTAAAATATTTATTCAAACAATTTCGAAGACTAACGCGAGATTCGTGTTCCTCGACCTCCATTAGCCTTCGGTCAACTCAATCAGTCAATTTATGTTTACTGGACTGTTCTCTACTAGAAAGAGAATATTGCTCATTTAGTGAAATAATTGTTCAGTCACTATATTTATCGCTGAATCAGTAAAATTATTACTCAGTCGATGTTATTATTGCTAAAATTGATTACTCTTCATTTAATTAAAAGTCATAATAAATAAAAATACCTAGTAGCCTTTATGATATACGATGACAACCTGAACAAAAGTACAATAATGCAAAATATATAAAGCTAGAATGTTATTTATTAAGTTATTCATTACCGTATATTAGTATATTTCATTTTTTTTCATCAACGACTGTTGATTATTGTTCATATTCGATCTTGGAATGTTGAAGTAGAGAATAACATTCAATCATTTCCAAAAAATATATATATATATCGTCATTAGAACTATTAACTTGGTGTTTCGAAAGCTTAATTAATGTCTGGAATGCTACTTTGTTATAAAGATCAGTTGTTTTTTCTCATACATTTAATTTAGCTGATCTATTTCTATAACTTATAGTGTCCTGTGTGAAACACCTAAGTGTGGTGACCATTAAAAAATGAGAAATCATTGTAAAACATCTCTTTGAGCAATTTCTCTTTTAGTTTGATTCCGAGATGAGAGGACTACAACTGACTTTTCTACATTATGAAGTAAACTATAATTCATCACATCTTTAATACGTCTAAATTGATCAATACACCACGAATAAGTGATTATTCTTTTTATTTAGTTCTAATTAATAATAAATAGTAACTGATTGATTCAATTAGACCATGTGCTGATGACATATCGGTATATATATTAGAGTTTTTCAACCATTCCTTCATCATAAGAGGTCTCGTTCAACACTATTATGACTCAATTCCATATAAATTACTCTTCTTATTATTACGGGGAACACTCGTAAATAATTAGAGATGTCAATATGTCTGAGAAGATCATTTATACACATAAGTATAAATGTGTATTACCGTATCAGTGGGCTTTGTCCATTACGTCTTTATCATTTACAGAATTGTTCTTCGTACGCGCTCGCTAGTTATTAAAAAATAGAATTCAGAAACAAGTGAACAAAACATTCTTTTACTTATCAAATATTCTTTATGATTTCTTTTTTACAATTTCAATATTCTCTTTCACACTTTTTATATTAGGATGAGTTGGAGGTAATGCACGTTGCAATATGTCCAGAGCACGTTCATAATATGACACTGCTTTTGAATAGTCTTTCACATTGTAATACATAAAACCGATATTGTTGTATAAAGTAGCTAAATCAGGATGATTTGAAGGAAGAGTTTTTTGTCGAATTTCAAGTGATTTCTCGTAATATGAAAGTGCTTTCGAGTACTCTCCCATCTTGTTATACACATTACCGATGTTGTTGTATGAAGTAGCCAAATCAGGATGATTTGAAGGAAGGATTTTTTGTTGAATTTCAAGGGCTTGTTCGTAAAATGAAAGTGCTTTCGAGTAGTCTCTCATCTTGTTATACACCAAACCGATGTTGTGGTATGAAGTAGCCAAATGGGGATGATTTGAAGGAAGAGTTTTTTGACAAATTTCAAGATCTTTTTCGTAATATGAAAGTGCTTTCGAGTACTCTCCCATGTTGTTATACGCAAAACCGATATTGTTGTATGAAGTAGCCAAATCAGGATGATTTAAAGGAAGAGTCTTTTGTCTAATTTCAAGTGCTTTTTCGAAATATGAAAGTGCTTTCGAGTACTCTCCCATGTTGTCATACACACTACCAATATTGTTGTATGAAGTAGCCAAATGTGGATGATTTGAAGGAACAGTCTTTTGTCGAATTTCAAGTGATTTCTCGTAATAGGAAAGTGCTTTCGAGTAGTCTCCCATCTTGTTATACACACTACCGATGTTGCTGTATGAAGTAGCCAATGAAGGATGATTTGAAGAAAGTGATTTTTCTTTAATTTGAAGTCCTTGTTCGTAATACCAAATAGCCTTTTCATAATCACCCTGGTCAAGTTTAACATATCCCAGCTGATTATAATAAATCGCTTTTTCACCTTGATCAGATGTTTGTTCCAGTAATGTGTTATAAAGTTCTTCAGCTTTATTAAATTGACCAATTGTAATCAATAAGCTACCCAATCTGTGCCATCCAGTAGTACCATCAGCTTCTTTTCGTATTCGATCAGTAAGTAATCGTAGTTGTTGATCATCATCGGACGTTAATTCTAACTCAACTTGATAAAGTTGATGCTCATTGTCCATTTGTTTTATTGCACCGACTCGAAAGACAGTGTGCATTGAAAAGAGAATTTCATCTTCATACCTAAAATAGCTCATCTCCTTGATAGAGGCGAATGACGCTGTCTTTATATTGGGATCAATAGACATTATAAATAGAATGCCCACCATGTCAGCATTTTCCAATGCACTTAAAGCAAATCCAAGGGGTGTATCTTGTTCTGTACTAGTGGATAAGAAGTTGTTGAAAGACATTAGATTAGCTTTTGTTGTCTGGAGTTTTTCAAAGTTTGTTTTGGATAGGCCTTGCCCCCGGTAAACTAAAAATGGTTTACCATCATAGCTATTAACCTGTTGTTGGTATAGTTGTTGGATTTGTTGGTGAAGATCATGAATGAAAAATCCCATTTTAATAATGGTATCGCCTTCCATCGAACGTAGAGCATAATTCAGCATAGAATAGATAAATGATGGGCAAGTATACCACCAAATAGCTGATTGAGGTTGGTATTTTTTTTCAAATTCATC